TTATTCTCTTTTTTTTTTTAAAGATTTTATTTATTTATTTGACACAGAGAGATAGCGAGAGAAGGAACACAAGCAGGGGGAGTGGAAGAGGGAGAAGCAGGCTTCCCGCGAGCAGGGAGCCCAATGTGGGGCTCGATCCCAGGACCCCGGGATCATGACCTGAGCCGAAGGCAGATGCTTAACCGACTGAGCCACCCAGGCGCCCCTTGTCTTACTCTCCTGACGTGGTCTTTCCCAGAGCAGAACGTTTTAGTTGCAATGAAGTCAAGCTGACAGGTTCTCTCTCTCATGGACCGAGCCTTCGGTGTTGTATCTGAAAAGGCCTCACCAAGCCCCGGGTCTTCTAGCTTTTCCCCTGTGTCATCTTCAAGTTTTCTAGTTTTTTATTTCGCATTTAGGTGTATGATGCACTTGTTGATTTCTATGAAGGGTGGACGGTCTTTGGCTAGATTTATTTTTCTGCATAGGGCCGTCCCATGGCTCCAGCACCATCTGTCGAAGACGCCGTCTCTGCTCCCTTGTGTTGCCTTTTTCCTCCTTTTTCAGAGATCAGTGACTATTTATGAGGGTCTCAGGCTTGAACACAAGTGCAGTGAGAAGGAGGACCTGGCTGTTAGGACTTAGGCTGCAACAGAGCAGTGGAGTCGGGCTGTCTCTCGTGTTGGGAGATAACAGGAAGGCGCTCAGTGTACCGCGGACCCGGGTATGGGGTCTGTGAGCTCGTCGGGCTGGGCATCTTTATTTTCATTTTACTGACAAGGAAAGTCAGGTTTATATGCGTTGGAGGACTTGGCCACGTTCGAGTGCAAGTAAGTGCTGAGACTCAGACTGCGCTGGGGTCTGTCCGGCCTCCTACATTAGACTTGTTTGTACGACCTGTTGTTCCTTTGGTCATCTAAAAATAAGTAGCCGTGAATGGTTCTTGCTATAATCTCTTGAAAGTTATCAGTTACTCTTTATTTCACTCCGTGGATTCTCCTGGTTGTTAGCTCTGCCTAATCCCACGGCCTCCCTTGCCTCCAGAGGTTGTGAGCTGGTCTCCTGGTGTCCCTCCTGGAGGCGTGTCGGAATGAGGAGGACAGGCCAGGAGGGATGAGGGAAGTGGTCGGAAACGGGGAGAGGAGGGGAGGCAATGGGAAAGCGGAGGGGCGCAGCGGAGGCCCCAGGTTTCTCCCATTCTTCTCCGCCGTAGCCGTGGCTTCCTTTGCACGCAATCAGGCCGTTATCAGTGGGGCTTCAGCTCGGAGACAGAAAACACCAGGATCTGAGCAGGGGAACAGCGTGGAGAGGTGCTAAGGAGGCCAGAGGTGGCGAGCTGCTAGGAGGGAGAGCCCTCGGGGACCCTGGGGCAGGCCCCGCAGCAGGGGCCGGGCAGGGGCCAGTAGGGGAGAGGCGGGGAGCTCAGAGGCCGCTCCCCAAGGCCAGGCGGCTCCTGCCACAGGGTCTCGCTGTTCCCCTGGTGACAGTGCAGAAACTGGGGCCACTGCGGGACTGGACGGCTGACCCCGAGAAAAATGGCCCAGCACTCACTCACCACCACCTGGAAGACATCCAGACCCAGAGCAAGCTCCTGTTCGACCTTGACGCCTCCCTCCCTGCGCTGCTGACAGAGCCTCCATCAAGCCAGCAGGCGGCGAGAAGGCCGTCGCGTGGCCGCTCCGCATCTGCCCTGGGCAGAGTGGGGAACACGTTGGAGCTTTGCCTCCCCCCAGCACATCTCAGCCCCCAGCTCTCCCTGAGCCAGTCTTGGCCGCCTGTGCCCGAGGGCTGTTTCTTGGGCTTGTGGGGCAGCACTGGCCTGGACGGCCTCGTGGCTCCTCCTCCCTGGGGGCAGCCTGGGGAGGGACATGCTCCCCCTGCCCCAAGATGGCCTTTCCTGGTCTCTAGGCGCTCTGACGGCCCCCACGCTCTGCTCCTGTCGAGTCAGCGGCTCGCGCATGCTCGTG